CGCCAACCAGGCGGCGTTGCGTCGTGCCTCCCTCAGTGGCCACATGCAGGCATGCAGGTTCCCAGCCCCCGGGCCCGCCTTCCACTCCTTGGCCTGGAGAGAATGAGGTGGGGCAGGGATGCCCCCGCCCGGCAGCTCGCGTCCCCACCCCTCAACGCCCAGCGAACAGAGCTGCATGAACCACGGCGTGCAAGGTGCCCCCACTCCTGCTCCCCCACCTGCAAATAAGCAGCGGTCAAGAGGGTTTTGGAGAGGAACCCTCCCCCACCCAGCCAAGGAGCGCCTCCCTGCATGTTGCCCAGAGGGCGTCTGGGCCACATTGCCTGGCATGGCAGGATGTGAGGGCCTGATCCCTCCACATTTACACTGCAGGGATTCACGCTGGAGTCACAAGTGAGTGCAGAATCAGCCTCCCAGAGTCCACCAGCTCCCTTCTTAACCCGTTCATTGCTCCTATTCTCTTGCCCTCTAGCCCCTCGCCCTGAACAAACCTGCCCTGAGGGCGCTCCCCCCCCTCCAGCTGGCATAAAACCTGGCCCCACCAATGTCAGAGGCCAAGTTCCCATGGGGCCAGCCCCTCCGCCCTGGATTCTCAGACCAGAGCCTTTGCAGCCCCCGTGCAAACAGCAAAGCTCCTCTTCTCAGAGCCCGGCTTGAACTGGCAAAACAACACGCTCACTATCTGGCTGCGGGGAAATGGGGCAAACCACAGGCAGCGGGGCAAGGCCGAGGGCTGAGGGCCAGGAGAAGGTGTGTGAGCTACTTACGCTGGGATCTCATTGGTCAGTTGGCTTGCAAACAAAGAAACAAGGACATTCAGAAGAGACAGACAAAGAGCAACAAGCAACGGAGAGGTTAGCCGGGGGGGAGGGGGGGAGATATCTGGCTGCGGGGAAATGGGGCAAACCACAGGCAGCGGGGCAAGGCCGAGGGCTGAGGGCCAGGAGAAGGTGTGTGAGCTACTTACGCTGGGATCTCATTGGTCAGTTGGCTTGCAAACAAAGAAACAAGGACATTCAGAAGAGACAGACAAAGAGCAACAAGCAACGGAGAGGTTAGCCGGGGGGGAGGGGGGGAGACCGAGAGTCATTAGTGATCTTGCTGCAGAGCTGCAGAATTTGTCCCTGCACCTGGGAACTAGCCGGACAGCTCTGGGAACCACGGGAAGCAGCGCCGTGGATAAAACCAGTGCCTGGGCTACGCTGCCATGGATTAGGCCTTTCCATCGCTGCTGGGGGCTTGGTGGGGTCACACAGGGTCAGCGCTGCCTGGCTGAAGGCTCGTGGTTATTAGCTGCCCACTGAGTGCGAGAGAAAAGCCCTCCAAGGACAGTGACACAAACAGACGAGCCAGTCAGGAGACTCTAGGAGCAAACTCACTTCTGAAGCCAACAGGTGTGTGCCAGGGGTGGCTTTGGCTAAGGCGCTGTTGGAGGATGCCCAATAGATACCCACGCACACCCGGCCCCTAGCAGCGAGACACAACAGAGTCCCAGGGGAGTTGGTTTAAACCACCAGTTTGAAAACAAAAGGCCAATCCTGCCCCCAAGTAAGGGCCTTGCAACCCCCTCCGATGACCCTTTTCAATGGAGCTGCAGAAGCAGAACAGAGGGTAGAATTGAGCCCAAAAGTTTGGGATGGAGCCGTTAGGGGACATGCTGCCTTCAGCAACACCCTGGCTGCTCCACCGGCCTCAGCAGCGCTGGGGTGGAAGTGAGATCTGAATTTGCCCTCCTCCCCCCACGTATGAAATGGGACCAAATTCTCCAAACCCCAATTAAAATTCCTGTCTGGGAGGTGACACCCTGGACCGATGCCCCAGCATCTTTAAGCATGAGCTTAACAAACGTGAGGTTCGTGGGAGACTTGATTACAGCCTATAGGTCCCTACGTGGGGAACAAATACTTAATAATGGGCTCTTTAGTCTAGCAAGCCAAGGTCTAACATGATCCAGGGCTTGGGCTTTGAAGCTCGACAAACACAGATGGGAAATAAGGCGTCAGTTTTTAATGGTGAGACTCATTAGCCACTGAAGCAATTTACCCAGGGTGATGGCCTATATTGTTCCCTCTCATTTTTCCCATCCATGTGTAGAATAAATGTTGTGATGTGCACTGAGGCAAGTGCAGATGTGCACCACCAGGAGAAACACATGCAGCTGGCTGTGAGTGTTGGGAGCACTCTGCTGATCAGCTGGGGCCAGCCAATTACAGGCAGTCCCTGACTTACGCGGATCCGACTTATGTCGGATCCGCACTTACGAACGGGGCTTTCTCGCCCCGGAGCTCACAGGCAGCGGTCAGCCACCTCGACCTCCGGGGCGAGAAAAGCTGCTACCACCAGGAGAAACACATGCAGCTGGCTGTGAGTGTTGGGAGCACTCTGCTGATCAGCTGGGGCCAGCCAATTACAGGCAGTCCCTGACTTACGCGGATCCGACTTATGTCGGATCCGCACTTACGAACGGGGCTTTCTCGCCCCGGAGCTCACAGGCAGCGGTCAGCCACCTCGACCTCCGGGGCGAGAAAAGCTGCTCCCGGTGCCCCTGGTCTGCTGGGGACCGTCTCCAGCAGACCAGGGGCACCGGGAGCAAAGCGGGTCCCGCGCCAGAGCAAAGCCTCAGAGGCGAGGCACCCCGCCACTGCGGCTTTGCTCCCCGTGTCCCTGGTCTGCTGGGGGGGGGGGCGCAGCTAGTGGCCCCCCCCAGCAGACCAGGGAGACGTGGAACAAAGCCCCGGGCCTGTGGTAGAGCAGGGGGGGCGCTGCCCGGTGGGGCCC